GTGATGCTCACATTTAGAAATAAAAGGCTGCTGCTCAGGGAAGAGTGCATGTTTTCGAGGTCCTTCTGTTGTTAAAATCAGTAACACTTTTATGTTCTGATCTGTACTGCCTCATGTTTTCAGTGATCTGGGGAAAATGACCGTAACATCATTTTGGCCTGATTCAGTTCAGTGACTTTCACCTAAGTAGTAGTGGGGAGGTCTTCTGTTTTCTGTGTCACACGTGGCATTGTGTCAGAGTGGTGGTGAGGACTGGTGTCCACCTCCCCACCTATGTTATCAACCATAAGGAAGGCAAAGCTTCTAATGTGCATAATTTCTTAGAATTCTTTGAGTTATGTTTGGGAAGTTAAGCACTTTATTGATATCATTTAGAGCTGCTATATTTATTTACCAAGTACTTCCTACAAGGTAAACGGCGCAGTGCATTTTGGAAGACCAGTAATGTGTGACAAGCCTTTGCCCATTTTTAAAAGTCACATTTGACTAAGGGTATGTTTCAGAATGTTGTAAAACAGCTTTTGGACTAGACCTTCTACATGCAGATGAACAAGGAGTACAGACGATTCTCCTGTATTTAAAATGAAGAGCAATAGTGTTTATCTGGCAGCAGTATATATACCCATAGCTTTACAGGCACAGGAAAAGGGAAATTTTACTCTTTTTCCTCTGCTGTCCCTGTTTTCAGATGTAGTGGAGTTAAGTTGAGCTTACACCATCTCAAGACCATCAAAGTAATTCAGCTGTGCCACTAAATGAACTTCCACAGGCTTTGAAAACTGATCTACTTTATGTCTTGGAAAACTGGTAGTTTCAAAAAAAAAAAAAACAGAAAAGACAGAGATCTGAGGTGTCAGAAGAATCGTGCCACACTATAAAGTTAAAAGTGGATTCTATGACTGAGTTTGCTTCCAGACATACTTAATGTAAAATTAAACTTGTGGGTTTTCTTATTCCCTCCTTTGTTCTGCAGTGAAGAGAGTTACAATGTCACAGATTATTCTCTAAGGGACCAGCTGGTGGTACAACAATGCGACAGCGAGGACCTGACTTCTTCTCCTGTAAAGAACACTTCGACGATGCTCTACTCGCGGCAGAGCTCTGCAGCTCACCTCTTCAGGCTGGCGGTGCTCAGTAACCACGCAGGAGAGAAGGTGGAGATGCTCCTGGGAGCAGAGACTCAGTGAGTGCATGGTTACTGCTTCCGTAATTCTGACCTCATCAACAGGCTGCCTCCCTGCCCTGGTCCAAGGCGGAGGAAATGCCCAGTTTCTGTCTGGCAAGTTTACATCACACTGAAATGAAGCGAGTTCCTGATTTTTTTTTTTTAATGAGTGGCAGAGCAGGAGAATGTGCAGCAGATGTAATGTCCCCCTAGATGCTGGAGTAAGTATTCACTGCAATAAAACAGAGCCTCTGCAAACTGGGTTCAGTTTCCCTCATATAATCTTGTCATGAGAGGAATCAGTGGTTTAAGTGCATGTTCTGTTAGTGCCGTTCTCTTTCCTTGAGGTCATGATGGAGGAATAATGGAAAATCCTGTACCGAAATTCTGTAAACTGAAGTATCTGTTATTACACGCTCCTGTTCTGGGTCCTCAGGCCAAGAATTAACTGTGCCATGGAGATTGCCATGAATCCTTTCTAGTTGTTACTGGTGAGGCACCCAAGGGCTGTAGGACAGAGATGTAAGGAGTTTGGATTTTGGGGGGTTGCGGAGAGTTGTGGAAGGACGTTCCACTAAATTTAAGTTATTTTCAATTTAAGTGCTATCACAATTAAAAAAAAAAACAAACAAAAAACACCAAAAAACTAAAACCTAAGTTCTGCCACATACCACAAGTGTTAAGCAAACACACACTCTATTGATTACACATTGCAGTATGGAAGTTCTTTACTTTTTAATTGGAAATACAAATGACCAAGTATCTGAGTCATCACTGGGTTTTGTTGTAGCATGAGGACAATGTGTTTAAATACTTCTCTAACAAACCTTCTGAGAACTGGAAGTCTCAGGTTTTCCACCTGCTCACCTGTTAACAGCACTTCTCCCTAGTAACCCTTATGTCCCGAGGGAAGTGCCTACCGAAAAGCAGAGCAGCAAGCAGTATGCTGTAGCTGAAAGTGCTGTGTATGTATGTGTTCTACAGCCTGCTTACACATGAGCTGTCCCACAAATAGTTCAGACCGTTACAGACCGGAAAGAACAGAACTCGGCGCTGCGGGTTCTCACATTTCCAAGGAAAGGTGCTAGTGGTGGGAGTCGAGAGTTTGAGGCTCTCTGTAGCGATGCTCCCAGCTCCTCCTGTGGCACACGCACCGTGCCGCTGTGCACGCTACTGGAGTGGGTGAATCCAAGCGTGCTGCAGGCTGCTCTGAGGAAAACGTTGCTTTTCCTGTTGTAGTTAAAGGGGGCTGTCTGATACCTACCTTGGTAAGACAACCTTGAATAACGTGCCTGCAGAGATTCATGTAAGCTTGCTCTGTCTCGGATACTGTCTGTGCTGGTTTGTTGTGTTTTATCGGTTCTTTCAGCAACGTGGCATTTACACCATGTTGTCTGTACGCAGCGCACAGCATTAGCAGGAGGAGGTCGGCACAGGTGCATTCCAAGGCACACGTCGTTAGGGTACGAATGCAGAATGCTCTTGTCCTGGAGCAGTGATTTGTGAATTACTTACTATAGCGGTCGGGTGGTGCAGAAGTGCCAACAGTACTGGATTAAATGGGAGGAGGAGCTTGGCATTGCCTCGGGGAAGCTGTGGAGCTGTGCTGGGATAGAGGTGGTCCTTGTTCTCCTGATGCAGTTTGGAAGAGTGTTCTGCTTTAGAAACAGCAACAAGAAGTGTCTTGTTCTTTTGGGTGCAGATATCCAAGAGGCCATCATTTCTCTGGGATGCCATGAACTTCCACACAGCCCTTCACAAAAGTGAAAGATTTTATCTGTTGTAGTGGAAGCTGGAGGCGGGACAGAAGACATGAAACAGTGATCCAGATGTATCCCAGCCTGGAAAAACGTTCAGTTTTAGGTTTGCCTTCAGAGTTTAGAATAACCCTGAAAGAAACTATAGATCGTTAATGATTTCTAGTAAAGGTCTCATTGAAGAGCAAGCAGATGATTCAGACTTGTTTGGAAAGGCATTTTTACTGGGAAAAATGCAGTACATTTTTAGTTGTCTGGCCTTTTTAACAAAAGACACTTTGTTCTGTGGATTTATTATTGATTTGCTATATACTGTTTGTATATAAATAGCAGAGTAGCAGATTGTTATTCAGAGGAAGAAATTCTGAAAAGGATTACTTTCTTTGGAAATCACCTATTTTTGTACAGTATTACCATGCATACACAGGGCACAGAAAAAAAAAACTTGTCACTTTGAGAAGGGCAGGAAGGCGATCTGCAGTAGGAAGGCCAAGCTTAGAGTGTGTACTGATTAGAATTTTGCATATGTAAAACTTAAAATACTTTCACTGATGCCAAGCGTTCTAGCGCTGTTGGATCATGTTGTGTCACTTCATGTGCTGTGTGGTTGCCAAGTACAAAAGTACCAATGTTGGGGCAGTAACTTCATACTACCCAGTGAATAAGGCACAAAATATACAGTATACACAGATTATGAAGAAATACATACTTAAACTGGGAGAACGTCTGGCATTATCCCATTTTTCTCAGAGTTGTCTGAAAGGAAATGTAGTTTTCCTATTAAGAATGGTTACAGGGAAAGGAAAATATGAATTTAAATAACATCTGTTTCTAAAAAAGAAAAAAAGCCCACAGAATGGAGCTTACACAAAATGATATATCGACTTTCTTGCTCTGGTTGAAACACAAGCTTAGCACCACCTGCTTGCAATGACCGAAGTGTCTGAAGTGGTGAGTGTTGTAGTTTTGGCCATTTGATCAACAGGTACCACCAAATGGTAGTGGGACACCTGCAGCAGTTTCATCTTTGAGGAAGAATGTGTGTTGGGATTTAAAAAAAATAATCAGTTTCTTTTTATTTTTTTTCATTCTTGCTTTTCATTCTAAGAGCACATTGCAGAGCGTTTTTACTGGCAGGAAACCTGGTAGTATTGTATGTTAATACTGCTGTGTTGCATTTAATGGGTGCTTCTACACTAGATGGATTTTTTAAAAAAAAATTAGATTACTAATACGTATTAGTCACAGACGCTTGTGGAGAAGTTTACCTGCATTACTTACATACCATTATTTTAATTGTTTTTAAGACATTATGCCAGTTGCTCCTATGTATATGGGCTTTTTTCCCTAATCCAACATGCTTAAAATAAATATGTTTGACTAATATATTACTAGAAGTAGTATCACACCTTCTGGCCATGTTTTGAGAGGAGGCGAAAGGAGGTTCTCTACACAGTAAGAGGAACAATTTCAGTGCAGAGTTTTGGAAAGGGGAGCAGTCTGACCATTACCTGGGAAACCGAGTTTTGTCTTTGCTGGTTGCAGGAGTGACAGAGCTCGCTGGATTACGGCGCTGGGGCAGGACAGAGACCGGCAGCAAACGGACAGGACGAGTAAGTTACAACCAACAAGGTTTCTGAGAGCTTTGACACGGGAATGGGAATGCACTGCCCCTTAGTGGGGATCTGAGCAAGTGTGGACTGTAAATACCCTTAGATATGTCCTTTTTTTCCCTGGCCTCTGTGGCTTTAGTACACATGAAGTCGCCATCTCTTCCCGAGTGCAGGGGCTTCTTTGAGGAGTTGTTCCGCGCAGTAATTCCTGTTTGCATTCCCAAACTCTGCTTTGGTCAGCTGTTCCAATCTGTTAGCAAACGTGCCAAGCCCCTTCCCTTATGTGTTTGTCCCAAGTTTGTGTGCAGTTGCTCAGGTGGGAAGTAATTTACATAATTTGCTACCTCCTGTGGGTTTGTTTTGCAGGAGTATAAGATGGAAATTTTAAAAATAAATTGTGTATGTATTTTAATAAAAGACACTCTAGTAGTTGTTTGGCCCCACCACCAACTAAATGCACACAGCTGCTCGCTTACCCTTCCCCACCCCCAGGGAGTGGGAAAAAGGATTAAAGGGGAAAAGGGAAGGAAACTCCTGGGTTGAGATAAGAACAATTTAATAGCGATAATAAAAAATTAAAAGGAATAATGAGAAAATAATATATGAAGATATTATGTATAAAAATTGATGATAATGTATACAAACAAGTGATGCATAGTGTAACTGCTCACCATCCAGTGACCACGCCTGCCTGGTCCCAGATAAGTCCCAGCACTGCAATCCTCCATGAGTGAGAGGCCTGAAAAGAGAATGAGAAGAGAGAGGGAGCACTCCGAGAAATCAGTCCCCAGACTTCCCGGTCAGCCCTCATCTCTATACCAGGCATGACATGGCATGAGATGGAACACTCCAGGGGTCAGTGCAGCCCTCAATCCTAAATACAAGTTCAAACCATGAGGGGGGTTGTGGGCCCTTTGTCCTGGCCTTGCCCCCCCAGCCTGTTGTGCTGCTGCACACTGGTAAAACACGAGAAGCTGAATGGTCCTTGATGTCTCAGCACCAACAATAAACATGGGTGCGCTATCACCGTTCTTCTCATAACAAATCCCAGACTAAACCCAAAACAGAGCTCTTCCAGCTACTGAAAAGAAAAACTAACTGTCCCAGTCAAAACCAGGACAAGGCTGTTAATGTGCAGCGTTTAATTCAGCCTGGCTTATTTCTTCCACAGCTTTGACTCAGGTAGAGATCATCAGAACTTACACAGCAAAGCAGTCGGATGAACTGTCTCTTCAAGTGGCTGATGTTGTTTTGGTTTATCAACAAGTAAATGATGGTGAGTGAGAATTTTGCTGTCAGTAACCATCTGTCACCGCTGCAGGTCAATCCAGCCAGAAAAATTTGTCTCCTAATAGCACTGGCAGCACAATGAAACAGGTTTAACTTCAGTAAGCGTTTTGGTTTGGGTTTCTGAAGGACAGCCCCTGTTTAGGCAACAGATGTTCAAGGTGCTCGTCGCCCATCATAACTCCTATAGATAAATCACTGCAGAAAGCAGGTACTGGCTGGTTTTGTCGTGTGCGATGTCCACAGATCAGAAATTGAATTCCACCTAAAACGATGGAGCTCAGATAGTTTAGTGAGTGAGCACCAGGTTTGTCCGAGTAAAACACAGGCATTACTAGTCATGTCCTACACTGTGCCCCACTGCCTGTTAAGTAGAGGGACTGGCACAGTGTTTTTACCTAAGTTTTCCATAGCATCAGGTACCCGAGACCAAAATCGATTCTTGCCTGGATGTGCAAGTGATGGTACCAGTGTCTCATGATTTGCTGACTCAGTGACGCTCGAAGCTGTCAGCACATGAAGCACTAAATCCTTACTTAATATTCAGTATTACATATGACATCAAACATCCTATCAATGGTTGCTGCATTGCTTTCTTTAGATTGCAATATTCTTTATATTATCTCAAACAACATATTTGAATTGCAATATTAAAAATGTGTAACACTTGTTTCACATGATATTTATTTTTACATACTATTTTGTTCCTAGTCAGCCTGTATAAAAAAATACCTGCTGACCCCACCTTCATCTGGGACTTCATTCACCACAAACGTCAATGTGTAACGCACAGATTCTGCTGTGTCTGCTCAAGTGCAGCACACAGTTGTGACTGGAAACGGTTTGTCACTCCGTGTCCGTTCGCTCTTGCAGGCTGGTATGAAGGGGAACGCCTGCGGGATGGGGAAAGAGGCTGGTTTCCCATGGAGTGTGCTAAAGAAATCACGTGTCGTGCCACGATCGACAAGAACATGGAACGGATGGGACGCTTACTGGGACTTGAAACCAACGTGTAGCCGGGTTTTGCTTCCTCAGACTGTACGACAGGATTTGCACTAACTGCTGCACGCCCACAGCTCTCGCGTGGAGGATGTGAGTCACCAACGCAAACATCTAGTAACAGAGCACTGATGTTTCGGATACTCACCCCTTTTTCGTTTGTTTTGAGCGCTCTGACTGAAACCTGGCTAGACCAGTAGCACGTTTCAACTACCAGTAGTTCCTTGGGCACTGGAGATGCATCTCCTTGGCTCAGAGTTCAGTTTCAACTTCAGTTCCTCCATTTCTGCCTCTACATATTCTTTCTCCATCTGTTTTTGAGCATTTTGACTCTCTCAGAAGCAGAATTGTGTAGCAGTCTGCGTAGGAGACCAACACCAGAAACGCACCCACCCCTTGAGCTGGAGGTGAGCAGCAATATGGGGGTTTCCTGCTCCTAAGAAAGCGCAGTGTTACGTTTGCAGTACCACAGGATGTTAATGGGATACTCTTCCCAGTAGTGTCAAAAGCTGTGTAACCCAAACTAGAATAACCAGCCCTGTAATTCATAAAGGACTACCTCACCAGCACCAATCCAGGGAGGTCTCAGGCTTTGTAGGAAGCAATTATATCTCTAATCCAGAGAAGTGCCTCTAGTGGTGGTGGTCTCTAATATGGTGTTACTGGTTCAGGCAGCTCAGGCTTTTTCTCCTTCTAGTGCTGGTGAAAGGATTTCTGAAAGCAAGAGGTACCACACTCTGAAAGCAAATACCTGATTTTGATTAACTTGTTCTCAGATCCTTTTAGCATGTGTATTTTAAGGGAGTATGACTAACTCACTGCTGGAAACGTGTCCATTTCATTTCTGTCTTCCCCTATGTTTAACTTGGTCTTCATGTGACATTACTGCTTCAGAGCAAGGGTTTTGATGGGGACTGCAGAAAGCATGAAATAACTCTGGTCTGGGTTTGGGGGTTTGGTGTGGATTTTTGGGGTTTTTTTTAGGCTTTCTGCTCTTCTGTACTAGAGGAGGTACTGATTATTTCCTTCTGTGGAGGCAAAAAGTTCACCTGAACTTCAGTTTACCCACATCTTTAGCACTTGTTAGCATCAAGTTGAATTCACAGGGAGAAGATCTGTAGAGTTTTGCTGAGGTGCCAGGTCTTCTCATCTCCATGGTATGTGTAGAAATGGTAAGACCACCACTGAGGAGTGACTTGGAAGGAGTCTGCACCTTGAGTAATGTGGCATTTTATCTTTGCCTTTGCTGGCTGCAGTGTGACTTGATGTCACTGGACGCTTCAGGCAAGGAGGGAGGGGAAGAGGAGTAGAAAAAGTAGATAAATGGCACTGGGACCCTGCTGTCAGAGGAGCTCACGTTGGTGCTGCTTCACACACGCTCTTCTCTGCTTCAGAGAAGACTCCTCACAATTGCACTACACACAACACAATGTCTGCACGTGCAGTTTAGCTTTGGAATTTCACAGAAATCTCACAATTGCACTACACACAACACCTGCTAAAATGTCTGCAACGTGCAGTTTAGCTTTGGAATTTCACAGAAAAGAACAACCACTTAATGTTGTGTGAACAAAATGCACTCAAAAATGAAGTAAATTTCAGTGCATCTTTTCTGTATATAGGTGTGACAGTTTCTTATAAAAATCCTCACCTTTTCAAGGACCAGCTGATAACTCAGCAGTTTTACTTCAGTAAAAACAAGGGAAAGGCTTTCTTCTTGGTGCATTCCCTGTCTTTTTCAAGGGACTGTACGTTTTATATACTGTAATCTGTTGATTCAATTTGTGAATGAATTGGATGTTGATAAAGATGTATCTTTTAACAATTTAAAATATTAGGAAGGCAATAATTTTGTACAAAAAGACTTACCTTGACAGTCTGACAGTGGTTAATTACAGCCTTGTAAATTAATTTGTTAAGTGGACTGATAAAATAGTAATGAGAAACTGTAAATTGAACAGACTTATTTAACATAGTAAAATACTGCTAATATTTTAACAAATTTTATTGTGCACAGACAGATGTTTAACACATAACTGAATGTATAAATCCAGACATTAATTTTATTCAGATTTTTTTAATACATTGTATATATTTTTCATACCTAGTTTTTCCAAAAACGCTATAATGTTTTTTAAAGACATTTTTCCTATTGCCAGACACAGTTTTTCAGGAAGTAAAGAAGTCTATGATTTTATAGGACAACAATCAATAAAATAGTTTGAAATCCTTTACTAAAAAAAGCTTAAGTTTTTCTTTAAGAAATACCGTTAAAAAGCAAGTTGTTAATGTCATTCTTGTCAAAGAAATTAAATCTGTTCTGTAACCAGTGGCATTTTAACTTTTTGGTTCTGCAAAGAAATAGCACCATCATGTGTTCTACTTTGTTTGTCACAGATGTAATTTAGGTGTATGCCCATGAACTTGGAGCAATAACCAGGCCTAGGAGGGCCTCTCCTCTCTCAGTCAGAGACTGCCCCAGGAGAAGGGGACAGGAAAACAATCAAGAACCACCTTTCCCTTCTGTTCCAGTTGGAAGGGACCTACACCAGTCATCCAGTCAAACCCCTTCAGGGCTGCCCCAGTGCTAAAGCACGGCCAAATGCCTCAAACACAGCCAGGCTTGGGGCATCACCCACCTCTCTAAGCATCCTGTTCCCATGTTTGACCACCCTCTTGGTAAAGAGATGCTTCCTAATAATGTCCAGTCTGAAGCTCCCCTGGTCCAGCTTTGAACCTTTCCCATGTGTCCTGTCCCTGAAGCCCAAGGAGAAGAGCTCAGCACCTCCCTCTCCACCTCTCCTCCTCAGGACACAATGGGTCACCTCCCAGCCTCCTTCTCCCCAACCTAGACAAAGCCAGTGTCCTCAGCTGTGCCTCAGAGGCTATGCCTTCCAGCCCTTCACCAGTTTTCTTGCCCTCCTGGGCCTCTAAGAACCTCAGCACACAATCTGCTGTTTTGCACACCTCACTTCTAGAAATGACTGTGCAGAAAATAATTCAAAATTAATCAAGAGAAGATCGAAACAAAGCCCTACTACTGTAGAACACTGAGGAAGTGAAAAGGTTGGATCCAGCTCTTGTGCTAAGTATTTCGGCATTAGTTAATGGTTACAATAAATGCTGGAAGACTTGAAATTATTTATAATGCCTAACAACTTACCTAGAGGTTAGTTCTACAAGGGCAGAAGGATGATTGCTCATACCCATGGTGACTGCTTGGGGCAGGAAGAGCCAGCAGTGGCCTGGGAACCTTCTGAGGAGCAGTGATGACCTCCCCATAGCCTAGGAGCTGTTAAAAACCTCATTGGTGGAGGTGTGGCAGCTATAAATTCATTGCTTTCTCTGTTTGTCCCACCTATCTGCTGGCAGAGTTTGTTTGCCCCCACCTCCACAATGCCTGAACAAGGATCAACTTTTTTTTTTTTTTTAAAAAGTGGCCTTTGGGTGAGCTGCTTAAGCAGCACCTCCCTTCTAGGGAAGCAGCTGATGCCATCAGTGTTCTCTAAGCCACACAGCTCCATTCCACACCATGTAACTCCCCCCTGCTCAGAAATAAGAGACTCAAACTACATTCTGTTCAGTGTGGCATCAGCCTGGGCCTGGAAAAGGCAGCTAGCAGGCACTACACTGATAACCGGTATGACCTCTAAAAATTCTCTCATAGCTCCAAGAGGGCTTAGAAATTTAGGACAGCACAACAAGCAATTTATCAAAAAGTTCATAGAAACAAGTTCTCAAAAGGTAAGGGTTTATTTGTTTGGGTTTTTGTTTGTTTCTTCCTTTCTAGCAACTCCACAATATTTTCCTTAACAAACGAAAAAGAACTCATCTTTTAACTCTGACTTGCTCCAAGACAAGCACTTTGGAGGGAATAATGTAAAAAACTCATTCATTGCTTTCATTAACCAGTGTGCACACATACGCGTGCGCGCCCCCGCCCCCCCCAACTCCTGATCAAGGAGGAGGACATGGCACTAGTATCTCCTTTCCAATTTAATTAAACAGCCCAGCAGTGACAGAATACAGCTGAGATATGTTACTGTAAAATTAACTTTCATTGCATTTTTGTAGGGCCTGGAATTTGTACCCCTTCCCTACATGAGTTCCCTAATCAGGTTTTAAGCAAGCTAACTGAAAATAAAAGGCTCTTAGTTCCCTGAATCAAAGTTTCCTTTTTCATGATGTAATTAAATGCACATTATGTAAGGTGGGCAGAAACCATGCGAAGTCCCATGCGCATGATTGGCCCAGCAATTAGGTACCTGCACAGAGTCTCAGGTTTACACTCACCCCCCCGCGGAAGCCAAGACCATGCTGAACATCAGCACTGCCAGAGGCAGGAACCCACTCTGGCCTGGGGAGCCTCACTGCCTCCTGAAGGCCACCAAGCACGCCCCTCAGAAAACCAGTGCTCACCTGACACCAACCTGTCTTTGCATTTCCAAATTCTCATACAACACAACTAAAAAACAGTTACTGTCTTTTCTGCTTCTTTCTATCATCCCTGCAACACAAAAATGTTCTATTTATTATCTGCTGAACTTTTAAAAGAGTAATGATACAATGCGGTATTGTTCTTGACTTTCACGTCAAAGAATAAATTTTTTCTCCATTATGCAAAGCTAATTTGCTGAAAATAAAAAGGTAAAAGCAGCACCACTTTAGTCAACGTACACAATCTCAAGAAACAGTCTTTGTGCAGTATCATTCTTATATGCACGTACTTTAAACTCTGCATCTATCAAATATATTCACACAAACTTTTTTTTCCCTGTATATCCTCTTTCTTAAGTAATCAAAACAAGTGGACAGAACACAGGTGTTAGAAATAAATAAATATTTAGAGTAAATACTGATGCCAAGAGCAAGGAGATCTGAGGAGGTCTTTCCTGGGAATTACAGAGTCCTTCAGTGGTGCTCTTAGCTCTGCTAGATCCTGTTATTTTCAACAGCTCTACCATAAGAACTACATGATTTAGGCAAACTGGAGGTAACACAAAGATCCGGAAGAATT